GTCATTTGCAAGTTATATCGCTGAGCTCTCACGCGCTGAGTACAAGCCTCCTGCTCCTAGAGACAGTGTTGACAAGTGCTTCGGAAGGTGTGGCGGCTCCCAAAGCCGTTTATTCAAAATGGATAAGACTCGCGTAGGGAAATGATATGGCACACGCTTCGCGTTGTTTATCTTAAGTTCCAAGAGATGTCTTCCGGTATCGAGCATCGTGAAAGAGCAGCTTGAACGTGTTGATGGCACGTTAGAAGTCGGCGCTTTGGAAGTCGAGCTTCAGCTGCTCGGGTGTACGTACGTGCATTCTTCATCGATTCAAGATTCAGTCATTTGCATGAGGTTTTAGAACTGTTACGTTCAAGCCTGCGTGGAATTCAAGCTATTCACTGAGAATCAGGCACTAACCCCTTTGCTAAATGGTTCTCAGCCGAAGTCGATCAATGGTTAAGTGAAATTCAACAGTTCGATTTTAAAGTGGCACACAGAAGCGGACGAGATTTGTCAGACGCTGATGCCCCTTTCTCAACTTCCAGTTGACAATATAACTGTACGGGCGAGCAGAGGATGAACTAACTTCAAATATGGGAAGGCACCCAGAAGCTGATGTACGCATGCTGAAAGTTTGTACTCTGAGAAAAAAACTTCGTGGCCTTTATCACCAATCCAGAGTCAGGAGGGCATGACGGCTTCTGGCGGACCTACTCAAAATGAGAAGATTTGCGTGGCCCGAATATATTGGCGATTACATTATCTTTTGCCAGAAATTTCAACTGAACAAAGCGAAATACAAGCAAGAGACATACCCCAGCATGACATTACCACCTTATTCAAATGTCCCATTTAAACCGTACATGTTGATTTGGCTTAACTGACGAAGGCAAGCGTGGGAGCAAAGAAAACGCAATCCTTTTTAGTGTGGATTAATGAATGCTCGAAGATACTAACTGCTAAGCCAGGAAAAGAAAATGCTGCTCGTATGATATCTCTCTTGAGCAGAGACTTTTTTAAAGGAGTGAAGTGTGGTGGCCTGACGAAGGACCCTCTTTCAAGAGTCGAGCATTCGCAAAGTGGGCGAAAGAAAGAAACATTACCGTGAAGTGTACAGCTCCTCACAACCCATCAGCTAGTCGTCTGGCATGTAAAACAATATATAAGTATGTAACCATCCCAGGAGAGTGGAAAGCATTGCCTCCGAGCAGCTGTCGCACCACGACAGGTCACACATAACTAATCTTGGTGCAGCCCTTAATATGCCGCCTTCGGGGAACCTGCTTATTGACCTGCGGACGGCATATCAAAGAAGCTTCACTTTAAGCAAAAGAGTGAAACTTATGCACAGCAAAAGAAACGCAGAAAAGAGATGAAGAAAAGCACTTGGCCAACGTCATAACAAATATATTTCCGCAATAGCACTAGGTGATATGGTTCTGGTGTGAAAAAGTTATGGTGGTCCTAACGCCAAACTTGAGGGTCCGTTTGAAGTGATGAAACTTGCCACAAAAAGACCATCGGCTACACGATGGAAAACGGGTTGACGGAAATAGCAGCCATTGCCAACGTCCCCCCTTATTTGGAGCGGAGGTATGAAATAAAGCCCGGGATAGTGTAGCGAGCCGATACGACGGGCATATTTGGTGGGAGCGGGGGAAGACGAAGAATAAACAGATCGTGCTTTGAGTCTGTGCCCGTTTGTAGTGGAAGGTTACAAGACGAGTGAGTGGTCACGTGATGGTTTAAGAGAGTGAATCACATACAAAAACCAGCCATAGTATGGGTATAGAATCGATCAATGGATTGATTGATTGATTGATTGATTGATTGATTGATTGATTGATTGATTGATTGATTGATTGTGTGGGGTTTAACGTCCCAAAACCACCATATGATTATGAGAGGCGCCGTAGAAGATACCTTGGGAAATTTCGACCACCTGTGGTTATTTAACGTGCACCCGAATATGAGCACACGGGCCTACAGCATTTCCGCCTCCATCGAAAAAGCAGCCGCCACGGTGGAATTCGATCCCGCGATGTGCGGGTCAGCAGCCGAATACCTTAACCACTAGACCACCGCGTCGAAGCAAAGTATAGCTGCGCATTTAGATGATAGTTCAAGCAAACAGGGCTGTGAGCCGATTAGTGAGCTAGTGTTCATTAGTGAACATCAGTCGGTGTTATAAAGCGCATGGTAAAAAGCTGCACCAAAAGGCTTTCGCCTTCGCACTCTCCTTGGCGAGTGTGAAAGGAACCCCGCGATATTTTTATTTCGTGAATTAACTTGTAAACAACATTTCAAACTAAATTTGAGAAATAAAATTTTTATTACTGTCGAATGCTTGCCAGCTGAGACTTTAGGCTTTTTTACTTGTTTTCTAGGATTAAGAATGGTTGCTTTTTGACGTCGTCTGTGATGTGGTCACGTGTGTAACAGCTAGGTTCTCAGCACGAGCGTTTGTAGTGCCAAATAAAACGCAGTTGCAAGTTCAGCGCTATGGTGCTTCCTTCAGTCTCCTGTTGCCCATGCTGGTAATCTGGGCTGTCTTCAAGAAGTTGAAGAGTTTAAAACTAGTGCCTGTGTCAAGTGCGGGGTGTCGTTACATAACGAAGCCCATGATTTTTTTTTTAATTCTTAGAAGGACTGAAATTTGAACTTATGTCGCTGCGAATTCATTATGTCCACGGTGCAGACTCGGACGCAAGTGAAGGGTAGCGGGCAACGTAAACGATTTTGTGCTGTTTCTCGTCCCTTTTGTACGTGCAAGCACGTCTACTCTTCTACTATGTACTTATATATTTTTTTCTATTTCGCATTACGCTGAATTTGAATTTCGGTTACCCAAGATATAATTGCGTTACTGCGGCTTCTCGTAATTTTTTTTCCTGGTTTATCTTTTGAAGCCTCAACTGAGAAATTTCAAGAGATTAGGTCTACTCCCTTTGGTGAATATAAGAGTTTTTTTTTCATTTTACTTTCCTGTGAACTTGTTCGCAGGAAACCTTGTTTCGCTGGAGGCTTGGGTTAATTACTTGCTTTTGCAAGACTGCGCGCGTCTTTACTTTTTTTATGCGGAAAAGCACCATCGTGTCCTGTGTGAGAAACTCGCCCTAATCGAGTTAGCCATGGAATGATGGATCGCAGCGCTCGAGAGGTTTTGCGTGTTTTACATCAGCGGCCTCCCAAGGGACGCTCGCGAACTCGCATGTCAGGATAATTTTGCATTGCTCAAAATGGCATATGAAATAGGGAGTTAGCACTAGTGTTTCGCATTTCACACTCTACAGTAATAACAGTTGAGTTTACAACGATACGCGTGTACAGGGCTCCCGGTTAGAGAGGGAGGGGGGATGGCAGCGCCTAGCCCCCCTACCTTATATTAAGTCAAAATATGGGGCTCACTGCGTCTCGCCCCCTTTAAGCTGACTAGGGAGGGCAGCCGTCCTCTTTACCCCCCTTCCCCCAAGCCCGCGCCTACTGGTTATAACGCTTTTTAAAACCAAAGGTCCTTGGCTTTATCGTTTCAATTTATAATAGCTTTCCCGCTGTAGTAACATAGTTAAGCTGACGTATGCAAAGCAATAAAATTCAGACCCAGAATTTTTCTATACCATAGAATGCGTAATGCCTCCGACGTGCGGTTTTAGCTGACACAACTAGTCGTCAATAAATTAGATAAACTACTACATAATAAATTTCGTAGGTATTGCGCAAAAAACATGGAAATTGGATGGACAAAAATAGGGCTCTTCTCTATAACTTTGTGTGCAACTGTAAGTAGTTGATGCGGGATCAATTCAAGAAGTACGTTGCTATATACAAATGACATAAATGTGGCTGTAAGTTCTCGCAGAATGTACCGCTAAAACTCGGGATCTACCCATTAACTGCTGTGGCCTCCCGTTACACTGCCCACCCAACAGCACTCTAACACCCTAAATGACTAAGGCAATGCAAGTGGATATGTAGCCGCCCATTGATTTTCTCTAATTTTTCAACTCGACCCGGCTGCATTCCAACCAACGTCTGCAGTTAAATAACGTCTAACAATTCTGAATGGGTCCCGGCGATCGAAGAACCCCGCCGTAAACCTTCGTGAACTCCAACGAGAGGAGGCGTAGGCCTACATCATCGCCCTTTTCATTTGAAGCTGACTGGAACTGAAGTCAAGAAAATCACATGACGCTTCATTTCATCAATTTTAGTGTCTAAGCAAAAATAAAATTGTAGTAATTTTCCACCCCCCGCCACCCACGCCAAAATAGACGATATGACTAGGAGAGATGCCATGGCCAAAGTCTCCAAAATTTGGAACACCTGAGGTTTCTTAACATTCGCCTAAATATAAGCACACCGGCATTTGGCATTTTGTTTTCATTGAGATTCAGCCGCCGTGGACGGGGTTTGATGCTGCGACTTTCGTGTCAGCCATCGAGTTTTACCACAAGCCACCACGGGTGGTTGAACAAATAAATAGACGGTGGCATAAAATATACAGAAATAAAACACCTAAAATATAAGCCAAATACAGGACCTCAGAAGAGAGCACATAAACAGACGTTGGCGAAAAATATTCAGAAAAAAATAGCTAAGATATATAGCCAAATACACTACTTCAGAAGAGCTAACAGCCTGCAGCGGACACCAACGGCATTAACTTGCAGCACCAATATAATCGTCTTTTTTTTTTTTACTCGGTCTGTACATCACATAGGGGCACCTTTTTTCCTTAACTTTGATAGTGGGCGGGAATCCTTGCCGCAGATGCAAGGGCCAGGAGCGCTGGCCTTCCGACCTGCTCATCCTCTCACCCCTTTTTCTCTCTCCCTCTGCTCCGCTATGCCACGCTGCCCGAAGCGCCGCTCAGCAGTGCTCTTATCGGCTCGGGGCGCTCCAGCAGGCGAGCCTCGTCTCTCTCCTCGTGCTGAAGACGTGGACGCTGGATCATTTGCCGAGCGCGAAATATTTGCGCAGAACTACTTTTTCACGGCATCATATTTATTTATTTATTGTTTGCGTCACCTGTATTCAGTGCTGCTAACATTCTCCAAGTGTCAAAGCGTTCTTAGAAGTGCGTGTCTCGTCAACTTCGGTGACTCGTCAGTCCCCGTTCCTTTTTTTTTTGTTATGTGTGTGTTTGTGTGAAGGAGTATTATTGGAGAACTCAATTCTTCTACACGCCTACGTCGACTGGAATACTTCGTCTGGGAAGCGCCTGAACGTCGGCTCTCCAGAATCCGTTGCCGACGCCCACGCGATTCTGAAATCGTTGCCAAGTTTTCTTCACTTAGTCTTCACTGCACCACCTTTCTGTCATGTAAGTGAAACCGCTTTTCGTCGTCGCTTGTCGATGCATTTTTGCGCGCACCGGTAAAAAAAAAAATTTCAGAAACTCTTAAGTTGGGAGCACTTTAGGAGTCTGGGCTGTCGTACGCTGTCGTCGTTGGTCGGCGTAACGCAGACAATGTCGCATATAGCTTAGATGCTGTAGCACACCGAGCACTCGCCCGCGCCTATAAGGTATGTCTTGTTGGTGGTTTTCTTGATGATGATGTTGAGTGCAGACATTGCTGCTATGGCTAGCAAAATACGACACCGCAAAACACGTATAAAAAGTTAGAGATCAGAGAAACGAGAAGTACGAATACAGAGAAATAAAGAAAAATATACAAAAAAGCAGAAATAAAGAAAAAAATAAGAAACTGGAAAGGAGAAAATGAAGAAAGAGAAAACCATACAGAAACAAAAAAGGCGGCCCAGCTCCACACTTTCAGTTTTGCTATCACTAGGACGAAGCTTTATTTAAGAGAGCACGTGCGTGCAAATGTGACACACTGTTGCCTTTTCGTTGTTTCGATAAACAGAAGTGTCATCGTGTTCGACCCTCAGCGTGACCAGGTGCGCGCTTACGTGTGCGTCGTAGTTATTAACTTACATCGTCTAAACAATGACCGTTACGCAATCATCGCGACGAATGTCTGCATACTTAAGAGATCGTGCAGAAGAGTTCCAGCATCCGTGGTATGTAATCGTCTTCTTGAAGAGGAGAATTGTAATTACGCGCGAGAGTTCTTCAAGGCGGACTACATTTTTTCTTCACAAGTTCAAGGGTGATGGCAGGAACAGAACACAGAACCACTTCTTCACAACTTTACGATGTCATCCAAATGAAACGAGAAGGAAGTTGGTCGATCCTGCTAGTCCGTGGCTATATAAGTTCGTGCTATTAGTGTGCAGTGATGCGAGGTTGTTGCGAAAATTTTCGTGAGATGTCGTAGAACAGGATACGCCCCTGAGCCTGAGGCAGCCCTTGTTTAACGATCTGTCACCACTTTAAGCATCCGTCCCCACCGAACTCCTACTTTGTTTGCATTGTAAAATTCCGAAATTATAAAGGTTAAAACGCGATCAAAGCATGAGGGGTGCCAAAGCTAGAGACACTGAACTAAGTATTTACCACCTAAGGAATCGTAAACGCGTAACTACAAGCACACTAGCACTGCGTATTCTACAAGTGTCATTTGGATGACGCGGCACTTTTCCCACATTCACGTAACTGTCTTGGGAGGGGGAGGGGGGTGATGTCTGTTACAACTCACGTAATTCCATAGAGAGTAAAAATACGTACACGCCATCAATCGAATAGTGTACAATTAATGATTATCTCAGTCATGTCAAGCAGCCATGCTTCCGAGCAGTCCCTGTCAAACACGGTTTTTAAAGCACTGGGTGGTCCTTTCTGTGATGGGCGCGCGTCCCTCTACATGTCACTTAATTAATGTTCTTGCGTTTAATGTACTGTCAACTTAAGCATGTGTTGTCACTGATGATTTCATTTATAAACAATCATTTATTTAACGCGATTGCACTTAACGCGTAACCAACTTTGGTATGTTTTTTAATCAATTGTTATCTTTCCTGTTTTCTGCTTTCCTTCGCAAAACAGTTCTCTTCGACAGAAGAAATAAAGTTGCTCGCAACGATAAAGTGGCCACACATGCTTTGTAGAAAGTCACAATAAACTGGTAAAAGTGAAAATTAACACAGCATAGAGAGAGAGAGAGAAATAAAAGGAAGAGACAGGGAGGTTAACCTAGACGAACTGGTTTGCTACCCTGCACGTGGGTGGGGAAAAGGGTGGGAAAGAGCATATATAACGTCAAATCCCTTTAATCTTAAAAAACGCAATAAAAAGCAACTCGCTATACCACATGGCATTTTAAAAATTGATAAAATTGCAATATTATACATCATTGTAAAACACCAATAAAGCCAAACAAATTGTTCGGTGAATTTGTAACTGCCAGCTATACCAAAAAAAATTAAATCAAACCAAAATTAAAGCAAACAAAAATATAGTATTAACCCCACGGAAGTCATTAGCTTCACGAACAGCGGGCGAAGAGTACCACTTTAGGTCTTCAACCGTTAACTACCAAGCACAATGTAACAAGTATAGTCTAAAGTTTACTTCCGACATTCACGGACGAAACCCAGCCATATAGTTTCCGTGGTTACTTGCAGCGAGTGCTTGTTCAGGATGTGTGTATACTTGCTCTTGGAAAAACATCGCTGGTGCTGTTTATGTTCGCGCGCACACTCATGTTTGTGCGCGCTAGAACACAGAAGAGCGCAGCGCACTTTCCCTCGCGCACTGGATGGATCATCGCGTAACTATTTCTTGGAACAAAGCCAGTAAAGATGACCCAGTTCTGCTTGGCGGCCACGAAAGAACCCATCGTCCTCAGAATGGTGCAGGATGCCTGGAGGAGACAACGCATGCGTCTGCACTGTTTGCTCGATGGCGACGTGCAGATGGTCGCTCGGCCTGTTGTTTTACATGGACTGCCTCCTCTACTGCGTCATTTTCCTAAAGGCTTTGCCCTTTTAATGCCCGCGGAAAATAGCGCAGCTTTTTCCCCCTCAAAATAACTTTTTTCTACTCCAACTCAGAACTCACCTGCAGTAGTACGTCACTTGGTGCACATGACCAAAAATTTCTTAAGTGTCCCTGTATTGTATCAATACTCTCGATATTTCGTATCATTGTGACACTTCATTGACAGGCGCTGCATTCGGCAATGTTTAGGTTAGTGCTTACACACATAATTCCCAGTCTTCTTAACAGACCCGCACAGGCTATAAAAATTGTACAAGAATCTGTCCCTGTGCTCCTTTAAAAAAATTAGGGCATATTTGCACTAGCTGTGCCAAATGTGAAAGAAGTGCGAAGCTGGGCAGCGTTTTTTTTTTTGTTTCTATTTATTTCCTCTCTTCTTTCTTGTTTTTTTTTTCCGGCTTTCCTGTTTCTATTTCTATTTATTTCTATATTAGTTCTATTAGTTCTCTGCTTTTCACACTCTCTTTACCGCTTGCTTCCTTTTTTTTCTATTTTCATTCGTGGTTTTTCCTGCGTTACACCAAGTGACGGCCGCATACGACAGCCCGGACCCAGTGAGGTGTTCCACACCTAAAGATTCTCAAGGTTACCCCGATTTCTGCCCTCAGTATAAATAGGTTGTGCACGCAGAAGTTATAAGTTCCTGGGGTCTCATTATTTGGCAGTTCAAGACTCTCTGTAAATCTAAAGCTATGTACATTGCTCACTTTGTGTAAAACTGCAGTCTGTATACCTTACCAGTGTACCATGCTGTTTCTGTATACACGTGCCTCGAGGGTGTGTGTACAGGTGTTGTGGACCCGTCAGGCCAGGCACATCTGCTTTTTGCCCAATTGCATCCACGACATTGTCGTCAGAAATATATAGTTGAATAAATGAATAAATGGGCGAATGAATGAATGAATGGCAAAAATTTTCGTGCATATAACAAAAAAAGAAAGAAAAGGCAATCAGGCTGCAAGATTCCAAGTTTCGTCACTATGGTGCTTCGAGTTGCAGAAAAGAGTTTTAGAACGTCTTTGTCCCTAACCTTTCATCTATTTTCCTTCACTTCAGGCCCTCCGCACTGGCCCTTTTAATAGCCATCAGGCTGCTTGCGCTAGTCCACCGTGCTGGTTCAGACGACCTGGTACCCGACCTCTGCCACCTTATTGACCAGCCCATGTACTGCCGTTGCGACACCGGCGATGAGGACGAAGTAGCCGAAGTCACGTGTTACGTGGGAAGAAAACTTCCGATGGATCATATTGTCTTTCAGTCATTCGAACAGCAACCGAGCGTCGTCTCCGTAGCGTTCACAGCGTTCGGTAGCGAATATAAGCTCGACTTTGTCCCGACGTTGGCATTGCTCCACATGCCGCAAATCGAGCGCGTCAAGATTTCCCAAGCGGAGCTGGGAGACGTCAAGCCACACGCGTTCCACAACCTGTCGCGGATCGCCGTCCTCTCATTGGACTCAAACGAGATCACCAGCTTGGACGCCGACGCCATAGCGGACCTTCCACGCCTCAAGAAACTAGAACTCGCGGACAACAAGCTGAGAAGGTTGCGGGCCGGCTCTCTCAAGAACTTGCCCTCCCTGACGCATCTCTTCCTAGAGCGCAACCGGCTGGAACTGGTGGACGACGGCGCATTCGAAGACCTGGGTGCCCTTCGCGAACTGGAGCTGAGTGACAACGCGATCCAGAAGCTTAGCGAGCAAAGCTTCAGGGGTCTGGAGCGCGTAGCGAGGCTCGACCTTTTCCGCAACAAGCTGACGCGCCTCGAGGCCCGCGTGTTCAGCGCCATGCCCCAGTTGGCCGAGCTGGACCTCAAGTACAACGAGCTGTCCGAGGTCGACCCGCTGGCCTTCGAAGGGCTGCCGCAACTGACGGTGCTCTACATGTCGTACAACCGACTGCGTGTACTGCCTGCGCATATGTTCCGGGGAGCTCCCAACCTGGTGTCCGTGGACCTGTCCCAGAACCAGCTGCTCACGCTTACATTGGAGGACGGTCCAGGACCTGGCGAAGATCGACGCCGAGTCCTTCGACATGAGCCTCACCGGTGAGGGGAGCTGCATTTTCCGCCTGCTTTGTAGGTTATGTGGGCTTTTATTTTTTGCCTTAAACGCACGATTGCGTTCACTTGTTTAATGATTATGATTGAGACATCGGAATGTTGTAAGCTCAGACGTATACAAACAGATATAAGCATATAGATTCCCCATTGTCTACGAACATGCAGGAGGACTAAACTGCAAGAAAAAAAGGGGCAATGGGCTCTTCGAAAAGCATTGTAGCTATTTCAATGATAATTTGTCCCTGTCTGGGTAACCAAGATGGGACAAAGTCTTTCCAGGACTATTCGTGTGGGAGTCGGACCACTTTGCTATATGACGAAGCCGAGTGAACACACACTAACACACACACACCACACACACACACACACACACACACACACACACACACACACACACACACACACACACACACACACACACACACACACTTTCGGATTTAGAAAATAGCCTCCTATATGCCAAATATGTAAATAAGATATTCAACAACACAACAGACTCATTGATGGTACAGTGATTCTTATATTACAGTAGCGTTCCTGGTAGCTAATACGGTCTAGCACACTAATTCATAATTCGCTTGAAACAGTCACGTGCGCCCCATAGTACGTAGACCAACGGGAACGTGGGTCACAAGAACTGAACGAGGTCACGCCCTCGTGCACTTGACCTTGGCGGCACTGGTGGGCAGATCATACGCGTGAGACCAGCTCGCAGAACAGAGACTATGAAGAGGGGATGCTAGCGTACACAAACACACGGCACCCCGAAGCCCTTTCCCTCAGGCGGCATGGCTTTGACGCGGGACAACATTATATACAGTACACATTCGTGCCGACAGATCGGTTCCTGCCGCCATGCTTCCTTGCAAAGAAGAGAACACACCCCCTCCGCCGTAGATGTGTGCTTTATATATAAGTGGCCCAACATCTTCGGGCGTACCAACATAGGAACCAGGCAGTGTTTGTTACAATTAGTCTTATTCTCAGCCTGCTCAACGAGCAAGCTGATCAACAAAGAACAGCCCCCCCCCCCCTTTGTAAGGAAAGCTCTAGAAAGAAGCAAAATGTTTCCTAAAGTAGACACTTCACTTTTCTCTTTTTCTCTTGGCCTTTCCTGTACTAGCGTGTGTCAGAACTCTGGTCTCTTGAAATAACATACAGGCGACGACGTGTGTTGCGGAGTTGAAACGCGAGTAGTCATTGCTCCCGAAGATACTTCTGACTATTACATGCGGTATTGGAGCCGACACATCGAGGAATCGAGACATCACCTCGTCGAACAAATTTGCCTCACGTGGGTCCATGAGAAAAGTTCACCACCGCATTGTTTTACCCGATAACGTCTAAACATTAGCATCACCAGGGCTCCATAACTCGGCCATTTCTGGCATCGGATGTCACGTCCATTTTCTGTTAAGGTCCTTGCTTTCGTTCTCTTTAGATACCTTGAGCTAGCTAAAGCTAGTTTAGCCAGCTTTAGCAGCTATTGCTGCTGCTCTTCGCAAGCTGAGAGTGGACCCGCCCAACGAACCAATTCTCTCCGACTATAAATCGGCAATGCAACAACCTCATCGAGGGACTCCCACAAACAAGTTCTGCCGCCAGGCGCTAGCATCACTGAAAGACGCTACCAAAAAAGGCATCAACATAACTTTTAAGTGGATAGCTTCATATGTTGGTATCAGCCGCAACAAAAGAGCAGATGCCCTGGCCAACGAAGCACTTTCAAGATAACCAACAATCAAGCTCCTGTAAGCCACCATCAAAACAAACAATTCCATGGCATTTCCGTTGTCTATGGAATTAGACCCATCATCCTTGTGTCACAAGAGACCTTAGTCAAGCCGAGTCAACTCTGCTATACAGAATAATAAGAACAGGATCGGAATACACTCTTGCATGGTTATTTAAAGACAGGGGCACTCCTTCCCCACCGTGCACTCAGTGAAATGAAGTCGCGGATATTGAGCACTCTCACTTGTCGTGCAAGGGTGTTTGTTGTGAAAGTGGGACTTTAATGGACACTAAGGTTGCACTGTTGGCTTGTTAGTTATTCATAATATCTGAGGGATGGCGCATCTGGGACGGGGCAGAGAAGAAGACACATAACGCATGCCCATCGCTAACTTTCAGCAATGCAGTTTCACTCCGAGAATCAACAATACATAACACGGCACATAACCATCCACGTGCTCAAACTATATAGAAATCGTTTTAGTGAACATCTGTGCGTTTCGCTCAATAAAGTTCGAACAAAAGCTATGAAGTTATGCAAATAGATGAACATAACAAGTTTGCAAAAAAGCGTTGAAAAGACTAAGAAGCTTAGCCTCGAGGTGTTTCTATCGCGAAGACACAAAGTCGACGTCTCGTTAAGGGTTATCATATCGGAAAAAAATACCTGGCAAGAGTGCATGGCATCGTTTAACCTGTGGGATCGTAGCCACCACAGGTTAGATACCGGGAGGGGGGGGGGGGGGGGGGGCCTAAGACCAGGCTAGAAACCTCACTAACAGCCTTTTCTCGCCTCAGCAAAACCAAAGGTATGAATTTACACCCATATATTTCGTTAGTGTTCCTTCCAATAATGCTTGTGTGCAGGGGCTCCGCGGAAGTATATCTGAAGTGTGAGGGCGAGGTTTGTTGGCAAGACACACACACACACACATGTGTGTGTGTATGTATGTATGTGCATGAATGTATGTGTATGAATGTGTGTGCATGTATGTGTGCCATGTATGTGTGTATGTATGCTGTATGTATGATGTATGTATGTAGTATGTATGTATGTATGTATGTATGTATGTATGTATGTATGTATGTATGTATGTAGTATGTATGTATGTATGTATGTATGGTGTATGCATGTATGATGTAGCATGTAGTATGTATGTATGTGTGTGTGTGTGCGCGTGCGTGCGCGTGTGTGTGTGCGTGTGCGCGCGCGTGTGCGTGTGTGTGTGCGTGTCTTGCCAACAAACGTCGCCCTCACACTTTCAGATATATACTTCCGCGGAGCCCCTGCACAAAAGCATCGTTGGAAGGAACACTAACGAAATGACAAGGCTCATAATTGTAGCGCGATTCATCGCCAAATTTGGTGGCACGTGTATCAGCAAGCCATTCGTATTATTAACAGCGAAAGAAATATAACATTTGAGTGTCACGTGATTTGCTTTCTAGATACACAATTTCTGTTTTGAGCGCGGGGATTGTATACGCACTGTGTTAGGGTATATCTATTGTTGATTCTCGGTGTAAACTGCATCGTTCAAAGTTAGTGCTATGAATTTGCCATGTGTCTTCTCTGTCCCGTCCTGGATGCGCTATACCTCAAATTTAATGGACAGTATGCAAAAAGGAGAGTTCCTCCACGGATGCTGTGAAGACATTGTGTTTCCGAAAGGTCCGCGGCTGACGCGAGAGCAAGTGGCTAACATATTTACTCCTATACGTTTTCTACGAGAGACAGGATTAAGCGATGTACGATGAGCGGAGCTACATGGAAAGAGTCGCTCAGGCGGAGTGATTGTCGACAGGGTCGGCCAGGCTAACCCCGCCTGTGGCTGCATAATCCCCCACCACCACCACCACCACCGTGCACCACCCAAGGGTTAATTGTAACTCTTGGTATACGGGGGCATATTCTTCAAGACACCTTCTGCGAGCGTCTTGGCTTCCCATAGAGCTCCTTGCACCTCACTGGTCGCAAGACTGGCTCAGGCACGCAGGAACAAGATGGTCGGCTTTGTCGGTCTCGTTTCATGATCTAAAGCACCGTTCGCACTGGCAAGTTCTTTATCGCGCGGGTAGTCACGACTGCATCGGTGACAAAACAGCCGTATTCGTACTGGTGCTCTCGGTTGCGCGATGATATTCGGTCATTTTAGCGACGCAGGCGGCGCCATGTAGCCGTGTTCCGAAGCTGTCACACGGTGACAAAACTACGACGCAATTCGGTCTCTTAGTAGTTATGAACCGATGAACCCGTCTTCACGCTCTGCGACGCTGACTTATAAAACACTCGCGACATCGTGCACAGTCTCGTCCGCCATTTCGACCTTCCGCTGCGCCGCCTATAGTCGCTGGAATGGCCGAATACGATCATTGCGTCCACCAACTCCCCTTAAACGCGCTGTATCATCGCTTTAAAAGAGCGGAGTCGACTTTCAGCGTGGCTGTTTGCATGACAGCCACGACAACGCTGGCAGCGTTCCATCCCCATACCATCCGCATGGCTCTACAAGCATTCTATTCCGTTCTCTCACTACCTCGCATTGTAAGTGGCTTGCGATAAGCGATGGTATAGCTTGATGGTGCGCATACGGGTAACACTACGAGGAACACACTACAGAGAACACACAGGACAGATACAATTTAACAGAACGAGCGCTATACTGCCCCCGTGATCCCATTGTAGTGTGTTCCTTGTAAAGTTCTATACCTGACACGCGGAGCAACTTAAGTGCACTTTGAGAGAATACACTTCCCCGCTAACATCATCCACTCGCTTCGCAGCGAGTGACACTCGCTGCGAAGCGCACTTGTCAGCGAGTGCGCTAGCCAAACTCACTTCAATGCGACACACAAACTCGGTAGCAGTGACTCTATAGAATAAATACAAGTTGCTCTCTGAAGCAGAGTCCATAGATCGTCTTGAGTACCATTTTTTCGTTATGAATATTTTTGTGCATTAAAAATACTGTAGGTACCACAAGAACTACGCTATTCTCGCTCTGCGGCATATAGTTTACAGCCACGACCGCCTGGGAAGCATAACCTATTCCAACACCGTGACCAGCACACGCCGTGCAATTGCCACAGCCACTGCGTATGGCTGTAAAGTTTATTTGGAGGGCTGTTCATAGCCGTAACACATTATCGCGACATAAGCATTGCCTTAAATAATGAATATCTGTTGGATTGCTTAAGCATGCATCGACATTGCCATCATTTCCAAACACTTCCATTCCTCGTACAGCAGA